GCTCTGGTGTCTCGCTTACAAATCACCACCAATGCAACAAACTGCTCGCAGCAGAGACTCTCACAAGCTATCCCCAGAAACCAAGGCACAAAAACACCATTTCCTCCTTTTTATCGGCAACTTCGGAGCCTGTTCGAGTCCCCTGCAACACATGAACAACCTCCTAAAAATGATGCCTGCGCAGCTAAAATGGCTCCTGTATCACTTACCACCCTGTGCTTGTAGCAGAACAGGGCAAGGATCCGCTTGGATTGTGCCCCCAGGTTTCTGCTCGCTAAGCTCATCATGAGAGATGGCTCTGGGAAGCTCTGGAGCTTCATTTTCCTCACCGTTCAAGTAACTAATTATGCCTTAGCCAGAATCCTTCACCTTCCTTTCGATGCAGCAAGCCCAAGATCAATTAAATTTTGGCGCAGGAGCCAACCGGTTTCAACTAATTCAAGTTCAAAGACACGGCGACGATTTGTTAATACGAAAACAGCCCTTCTAGGAAACAGTCCCTTAAAAAGCAATCTAATCTGGAGAATGTGAGTCCAACATCGCCGCAGAGACCCCGCTGGAAGCAGGCAGACTTGGGGGTCCTGCCTGCCAGAGCATTTTCACCGTGGGGTCGGTTCCCAAGCCCAACTCTGACCATTACATTCCCCTTTTTTGCCTTAAGCAGATTAAACAGCATCGAAACATAAATGCACATCACGGACACGTTCAGGCGAATACTTTACCGTTAGGCGTCTTGAAACATCTGCAATCGTTGCCTGGAAATAGCGAGTATTCTAGTCCAAGTGGCATTTCCAAAAGCCCTCCGTGAAAATTAAGACGACTTGCATAACATTCGGGTTTAAAAATATACCCAGTCCGGCTGGAGAAGATGCGGTATTTTTGTGCCACCCAAGATAAGACACTAACTTGACCTTAACTTTGTTATGGCGCCCCTAGTATCTGGAGAACGTGAACAGACACTGTCTGGCAGCTCTCGTAAAAACTGACTGGAGAAGAGATTCTGAGTCATTTCATTTATTGCCACTACAGTTCTGCAAGAAAGCTTTTCCTCCCTGCCAAACTTTAATTATTTATGCTCTTTTAGGAAACACAAAGGCATCCAGAGCCATTTCAGACAATCAGAGTTGCGTTTCCAGCCTTATCAAACTAGTAGGAATGGAGAGCCCCCTCGGAAGGGGTTTATCACATTTAGACTGCGGTCGGAATGCAAAGATGTTTATGTCTGAGTAAATAGAGGAATAGAGGTTCGCCTGCATGCTGTGGAGGACGGAGACATGTATGTTGTAGCTAATGGGTGCCCAGTGCACATGCCCGCACACGCATGCACCCAGAAATGCAGAGGCAGGGGAGATATAGGTGAAAAGGCAGAAAACTAACCTACCCGAAATGTTTAGGGTGTATTCACTTTACTCGTATACATCTTCTATGCGTATACAGAGAGTGTGGCACATAGATGTGGCTGAATGCACTCCAGTGTGCATGCACATGCACCCTCGCGAATAGATGCAGCGTGTGCGTACGCAGCGCTGTGTCCGGGCGTGCATGTGTGCCGGGCACACGTATGTGCGCCTCGCCACACGCCCACAACGACTGTCGCCGCTCGGGGCTTCGGAATAACAACCGAAACCTTAAGTGTGTGCATGCATGAAATCATGCAGCATTTCCTCGGGCACGTATGTTTATTCACAGTAAGTGCCCGTAAATATGTACGTCTGCATGTGTGCACGCACGCTTACACAGAACGGCCGCAGCTGAAACGTGTACATCTGTGTACAGGCACATACAAAGATACGTCATGCACATACTTCTGCATCACCTATCATTTTAGATCCAATCTCCTCTGTTTTGTAATCTATTTTCTCCGTTCGTAGGCAGTTTAGACTAGGGGCTTTAAAACAAGCTATCGTCGTAAATCGATACGTTTAATAAATAGTACATTGCCTTTCACATCTTTTTACCCGAGGTTCCTCTTCAGATTTCTCATCATACATGTAATGAAGGGAATGGTTGTACTGGGGTGCGTTAGGATAGGGAAGGACGGAATAAAGGGTCCATTTCTCATGAACTGTAGCAGGACTGAATAGTATTCCAGAAGGGAATAAGAAAAGGGGCTTTATTTGGTTTTTGCTTTTCTCCTGGCTTGCATCATTGGGGTTGCTTCTAGTTTTTTTAATTAGGGAAATGCTACTGAATGAAGAGACTTGTATTGTCCGCAATGCGCCAGCTCTCAGTGCAGGAGCTGAATGCGTCTAAGATTTCGAAGGACTTAGAGGTGGTGCCTCTGATTTTATGTGGATAGGTGTGCATCTCGCTCATTTGGGCAGCTCTCACCGCGCATTTCTGCGCCTCTGCTTTTCCATTGGCAGTCACCCCGCGGCCAGCGAGGTAGGTTTTTGTCTGCATTGGGCAATGCGGCAACAATGGCCATTTCGGGAGGCGAGAAATGCGCGTCCAAGTTTGGGTGGCTTTCGTTCTCCTTCCCGAAACACCACCTCTGGGGCTCTCCTGAAAGCTTTCGGGAGGATGGCTGCAGTTGTGCTCTCCTAAAAACACAGGATTTACCTCCAGAACGGTTTGGGACCGCTGTGCCCTTTACAAAACAGCACTTGCAAGCATATGATTGGGAAGGAGCAAAGTTCAAATATGCCTATTATGAAATAATGAGGTTATTGCCTTCAGGAAGGCAATAATATTGTATAAATAGGTAACTTCTTTGTGCCTTCCACTGTAATTATTTAGCCTTATTGAATACATCCCGAACAACCATATTTGAGTGAACTCCATACCAGAAAAACACAAGAATAACGCAGGCTCCACCGGTGTGAATTACTATTACTGTTGGGAGAGGCAACCCAAGGTTTCGCGTGTGGAAACACCTCTTCATTAGAAACAGATTTACGTGGAAATTGCAGCCAAAAGACATTTATATCTAGACCTAAAATTCCTTGATTTTTTTTTCTGAAATGTCAGACCAAGGCAATACCTAGCATTTCCCTTGGCTCTGCTTCTCCAGCCAGGCTGAGCGCTCTGGTGCTGGGGAAGCTGGGGGCTGCAGGCACTGAAAGCCTGTCAGCAAGATGCGGGAAAAATTCACTTTATTCTCCTTCTAAAACAGTAACCAATCGACTTGGGCAACGCTCCCAGCCCCTCTGCTGGGGTTTAGCCTCTGAGGTTTCTAGCTGGGCAAAAAACCGAAAGCGTTCCCCCCCTTCCCTCGTAAAAAGCTCTGCGGCGGAGGCTGCGGGGACAGTCACACA